CGTTCCCTCCTCAGAAATCTTCAACCTGATCTACAAACCAGCTGAAACCACCAGTCAGGCGCAAGCCACCCAATCATAAGCCACTTCCGACATAATCACCCAACCTGAACAAGCGATCATATATAGCACCCCTATAAAGAACAAAATGGGAAACGTGGCTCCACCGCCGTCACCAAGAAAGATTACTGAGAATCAGGACCTCAGTGAGGAAACCGGTATTAGGTTTTACACGTGCTCAGCCCCCCAAATAGTCTCAACCGAGAGACTACCGACAAAGATATGGGAAGGAAGAGTAAAATATACATATGAGATAAAAATCTGGAAGATCACCACATAGAAAAATTATTTAAGAGAGGGAGAATCCTGGCCAAATATAACAATAGAAAAGGTGGAGCAATCCAAGTACAGAAAAATCATATTAAATTCTCACGGCAAGGGTAATTTAAATAAAATCAAGATATTCAATTACACAGTATACCCAAAAAAAAAAACCCAGCCCAAATCCATTACATGATGGAATAGCCATAGCAATTAAAAGAAGCATAAAATATAAAATCCATGATACATTTCAAGAAAACTTTCTGCCAATTGAAATTAACAGCACCACGGGTCCAGTCATAATCGGTCCCTGCTACCTCCCTCCAAGAAGACCTATTTTTCCAATAGCGGACATGCTCAGAGTGATGAGGAGGAATATACCTGCTTACTTTCTGGGTGATCTCAACGCTAGACACCGCATACTTGGACACCACACCAACAACGCAGTAGGCCAGGTGCTGAACACACTAGTGAGCCACGGCAACGTAGTACACCTCGGACCGGAATTCCCCACGTACATCAGAGCAGGCCACACAGGATACCCAGACATCGTGTTAACAAATCAACACCACCACTTAAACATTCGAACCCGGCCCAATATCCACTAGTGATTATCTCCCTATCATAGCCACACTCTCCACAGCCCCAATACAGATCCCGGCCAGGCTAAGATTCAACTATAACCGGGCTAACTGGGAAAACTTCAAACAAGAATTAAACTACCCGCAACCCATACAATTACACAACAGGAAAACTTCTCTAATAGACCGATCACTGGACACATGGTACGAGCACGTCAGCCAGGCCATGGAACACAACATACCCAAGACCACTTACCGAACATTACCACACCCTCAATACTCATACCAATCAAGAATCATAGACACAATTTAGCAACCTAGTTAAACTAATCACACAACAAGGATGGACACCAGAACACAGACGGCTATACAACATAATACACGAACAGCTAAAAAACATTTCAAAAGAAGTATACAACAGGAACTGGCAGAAGCTGATTTCAGAAACGGAAGAAAACTACCATAAACCGAAGCAGTTCTGGCAGAAAATAAAGGATTTAATGGGAATAATAATAAAAATTAATAATAATAATAATAATAATAATAATAATAATAATAATAATAAAAATAATGATAAAGGCTAACGTGACGAGCACTCATTAACATAACAGGAAAAACATTTTACAACTTCAAAAATGATTTTGACAGCAATTATATATATATATATATATATATATATATATATATATATATATATATATATATATATATATATATATATATATATATATAATAGAGAGAGAGAGATAGACAGCATTGTAAAAGATATTAATATGAATAATTAATAGTTCGTAAGCAAGGAAAAAATGGAATAAGTGAATGAAAAATTGAAGGACGGAATTAGGAATGATAGTGGGTTGACACCATCTCATATGTAGTTAGGTAGATAAGGAAAAAGAGAAGAGGGTGATGACACGAGGTGCAGGTCAACAGCAGATTGGGTCAGGCAGAAATAACAACCATCTTGAGGTTGGTGTATAATAGGGAGCGTAAATATACAGATAGGGAGGTTGGTGATATGACATTGCCATAGTCTGATAAGTACGTGAATGAGTTTTGTTGATAAGTATAAGTAGACAAGATGTCTAATTAGTATGTAGACGTGAGTTATAGAAGTAGGTTCATCAGTTACGTTAAGAAGGCAGAGACAACTTTTGTTAATTTAGTAGGTAGACAAGTTATGTTAAGTATAGGTAGGTAGACGAGTTATGTTAAGTATAGATAGGTAGACGAGTTATGTTAAGTATAGGTAGGTAGACGAGTTATGTTAAGTATAGGTAGGTAGACGAGTTATGTTAAGTATAGGTAGGTAGGTAGACGAGTTATGCTAAGTATAGGTAGGTAGACGAGTTATGTTAAGTGTTGGTAGGTAGAGGAGTTATGTTAAGTGTTGGTAGGTAAACGAGTTATGTTAAGTATAGGTAAGTAGACGAGTTATGTTAAGTGTTGGCAGGTAGACGAGTTATGTTAAGTATAGGTAGGTAGACGAGTTATGTTAAGCATCGGTAGGTAGACGAGTTATGTTAAGTATAGGTAGGTAGACGAGTTATGTTAAGTATAGGTAGGTACACGAGTTATGTTAAGTATAGGTAGGTACACGAGTTATGTTAAGTATGGGTAGGTAGACGAGTTATGTTAAGTATGGGTAGGTAGACGAGTTATGTTAAGTGTTGGTAGGTAGACGAGTTATGTTAAGTGTTGGTAGGTAGACGAGTTATGTTAAGTGTTGGTAGGTAGACGAGTTATGTTAAGTGTTGGTAGATAGACGAGTTATGTTAAGTGTTGGTAGGTAGACGAGTTATGTTAAGTATAGGTAGGTAGACGAGTTATGTTAAGTATAGGTAGGTACACGAGTTATGTTAAGTATAGGTAGGTAGACGAATTATGTTAAGTATGGGTAGGTAGACGAGTTATGTTAAGTATAGGTAGGTAGACGAGTTATGTTAAGTGTTGGTAGGTAGACGAGTTATGTTGGTAGGTAGACGAGTTATGTTAAGTATAGGTAGGTAGACGAGTTATGTTAAGTATAGGTAGGTAGACGAGTTATGTTAAGTATGGGTAGGTAGACGAGTTATGTTAAGTATATGGGTGTAGACGAGTTATGTTAAGTGTTGGTAGGTAGACAGTTATGTTAAGTGTTGGTGTAGACGAGTTATGTTAGTGTTTACGAGTTATGTTAAGTGTTGGTAGGTAGACGAGTTATGTTAGACGAGTGTTGGTAGGTAGACGAGTTATGTTAAGTGTTGGTAGGTAGACGAGTTATGTTAAGTGTTGGTAGGTAGACGAGTTATGTTAAGTGTTGGTAGGTAGACGAGTTATGTTAAGTGTTGGTAGGTAGACGAGTTATGTTAAGTGTTGGTAGGTAGACGAGTTATGTTAAGTGTTGGTAGGTAGACGAGTTATGCTAAGTGTTGGTAGGTAGACGAGTTATGTTAAGTATAGGTAGGTAGACGAGTTATGTTAAGTATAGGTAGGTAGATGAGTTATGTTAATTAACACAATTGACAAGTTATTTTAATTTATAAGGTAGATAAGTTGTGTTAATTTATGAGGTAGACAAATCAAGTCAATATACAACTTGAGATGTGGATGAGGGCGGCCAGACTGGACTGTATGTTGTGTCGTTCTCCAGGGTGATCTTGACTTCCCGTCCATCACATGCGCACCTCTCGATAACAGTTATCAGCAGCTGCTATCATCCTCACCTGGTTATAACATGACCACCATTATGTCACTCGTAACGTCACTCGTAACGATTCATTGCCAGCTCATGGAAGAACTCTGTGTTTAGCATGATAAAGGCACTCAGCTTCTTAACACACACACACACCCACACACACTACTACTACTACTATTACTTTTTTTTTACGTGGCCTCCATCCTCCCCCAATAGTCACACCTTCGCCGCCATTTTATTACCTTAAAATTAAATATCCTAATACTACTACTACAACTACTACTACTACTTTGCTGTCACCAGTGCCGGATTTATACCTGTGGAGGCCCCCTTCATTATAACTACCCAAGAGGGTGGGGTGGCGAGTGAAGCGAGCCTAAACATCTGGGAGTTCCGGAATTCTAAATATATTATTAGCAACACAAACAATAGCATTCATTTAAAATATACCGTTCATAGGAAAACCAGGTATTCATGAATTTCAAGGAGTAGCTAGCCTAATTTCTATCATGCTTCTTGCTGAACATAGTTTTACGTGATGGAATAGATAAACATGAATTTTAAAGAATGAAAATAAAAATAATCCAAATGAATAAACAAATAAATAAAATATTGTAATATGTGGAGGCCCCTGGGCAGCTGTCCACTTAGCCCACTCCTAAACCCGGCCCTGGCTGTCACTCGGAATCGTGTATGATGATCATCCAGCCCATCGTTTGACCTAACCCAAGCTTTGAATTTCTGGGTTTTCTTCTTTGTCGACCGCCACATGGTGCATGTGTAGTGGTCTCCTTGTATATATTTCTCGATCAAATGGTCCACTTTATAACCCCAGTTAATACAATTAAAAAAAAATGTTGAGCCCAAATAAACTCTTGTCCCACTATTCAAAATCAATGAACACCATTAGTAATCGATCATGTGAGGGCAAACTTTTCGGAGTGAGAATTGTGAACTCTTGGAACAATTTGCCAGAAAGTGTTGTGGCGGCACCGAGTGTGAGTTCTTTCAAGACCAGACTTGACCAACACTGGAGCGGGTTCAGGAGCCGGTGCATGCCCAGTACAGTACCTGCCAACAGTGCGTAACAGAGTGCCAGTACATGTCTAGTACTTGTAAACAGTGCTTGACAGAGACGTGATCGATCGCCCAATCGGTTAACTGGCCAATCATTGGTGAAGAGGATAAAAGTGAAAGTAAAAATGTCCCGTAAATATTGTTTCCTCCATTTTTTTGTGGATTTACACTCGAGTTCCATCACAACTAAAGTTTATAGGGGGTTTAAATATAAAATATAAAAGTTGCTCATGAAAACAATACCCAAATCACTAAATTTTTTTCTTCAACTTCAAATGAAAATGGATCCAGGCACTTGACTATGATGAAATAAATTTATAGTTGATGGTAACATTGTGTGCCGGTAACTGTGATCGGCAACACAGGACTGGAGGTGTTGACGGTGATCAGCTGTGTTGCTCCTGCCCGCCTGCAGCTGACTACATGGCGACGGTGGCCAAAATGAGTTACCGGTCTGCAATGAATTTTGTCCGACGAGGTTTATTGGGCCAGTTTCAAAGGAATTCTCATAGATTTTTAAACTTAAGAGTAAGTAATGAAACTTATACATGAACAAGTTTAATGTTGAAATTCAACTTTTCCAATATTATCCTCTGAAAGCTTGGTTGTAATATTTAGTTAAAGTGTTATTAGGTAGCTAGGCACCTATTCAGTTAGATTGCTACATAATATAAGTTTAATTTGATTCAGCATGTATATAGGCAATGCTGGTATATAATATAGCATAAGTGAAGGCATACAATGGTAAACAAGTTGATTTGACCAAGGATAGCTAATAACGTCACCATATGCCTATTTCCAGTAGGGCACTTTGCTAAAGTAACTGGTTGTTTAGGCCTTTAAGGCCTAAACCTCGTAAGGCGAAAACGACCATTGTATTCATAATAATAATAATCATAATAACGTAGTGGATATTTTGCTGTGACCGGGCAAGTTCCTATACTAATGCCAATTTAACGTGAGTGCAATCTGATTGGCTAAGTACTTTTTGTTTAATAGGAGAAGCTAGGAAGTTAGGTAAGGTTAGGTAAGTTTCTATGGTTAGTTAGGTTAGGTAAGTTTCTATGGTTAGTTAGGTTAGGTTCTATTAGGTTCTAGTAAATGTCTCCTTTTTTATGATGATACAAACATCTGTGGAAAAAATTAATAAAATAAACAACTCCTTCTGGTTAGATATGTTTATAGCTACACAATGATCTACTCGCGGCAAAATAAATGCCAAATGCCTCCAGAGTCACGATCAATTATAGTTCTTGCGTTGTTCGCCAGTAATACTTATACTTTTTTTACTTTTATCCTCCTCACCACTGATCGGCTTGTTAGCCGTTTGCAGGGGTAGAAATTCACATGTGCCCTCTCGCTCGTAGGCGACCAAAATATCATAAGCGCGACAAGATTTTACTATTTTGTTGGTCTGGGATCGCCCGATGGGTAAGTGGGCTTATGGCAGTGGTAAGACACATTCAATGTTTATAAGAGCTTCATATAGAGAATACACTATTAATGCTAGTTATCTTAATTGTATCACTGGTATTGCAAGCAGAAGGGATACCCATTTTTTGTTTATAACATTTTATATGAAAATGAAAATAAAATATATACACTCTATGATATAATGTAGTGATAAAACTGGACAAATGAGTTGGTGCAATGCCACCTAGAACACCAGGCCGGTTCAGGGATTGTACGATGTCACATACAGATACTACCGCTATTCACGTCGGTGTATGGAAACCGTGCATTGTAATGAATAAACGCAGTCTAATTATGTAGATATACAGTTATTATTGAGGAATTAATTTCTATACATAATACAGTATATAAAAGCAATGACAGCAAAATTTAATACCTGAATGTATAATAGGCAAGAATAAAAACAATTGACATGTGATGAAATCTGCCTTTCCATCAACAATCACACCATTTATTATCAAATGCTGTGACCATGCTGGAACAGCATGGTCAAACCAATATTTCTGCTATCGTTAATGAAATTCAGACTGCAGTTGATTTACTTAACAAATATTTGACTTGGCCAGGACCCAGCCTGAGAAGGATTATAGAAGGTGACACGACCATGTTCCAAGGAGAGAAGCTGAGTGGTAGAAGCAACACTTTCAAGACTGTAAGGTGTGATATGCTGACATCACTGATTTCAAGACTAAACAAAGGATTTATTGACAGGGCCAGTACGATTCTCCAGAACGCAAGGATTCTGAATTTCAAATTGTGGCCTGCAGAGTACAGTGGGAATGAAGATTTCGGGGATAGCGCTGTGCAAGCATTGGCTCAGGCTCTTGAGAAAACACTGATGGAGGCAGAGGTGAATCCTACTTTGGTAGAGGATGAATGGACTGTGCTCAAAAGTAAGACATCACTTGTTTCAAGACTGTCTTGGCAACAAATCAATCAATCATATGGAGAAAGGTGTGCCTCATTTCTCCATCTGGTTGACCTACTGCTTTCCATTCCAGCTAGTTCGGCTGATGCTGAATGTGGTTTTAGCCAGGTCAAACGCATTAAGACAGACTGGCGTAGTCGTCTCACTGATGACCACCTGACGGATCTCGTGGTGGTTCAGTTGCAAACAGAGAGCGTTGGCAACTTCAATCTGGACAAACATTTGCATCCCCTTATTAATTGTAGCAAATGCCTCTGCCATTTGCTTCACTGAAAATTTTTTTGGGGGGTGCAGGTGCTTCTTCTACATTTCAACTCTCTTCTTCCTCTGCATTTTTCTGTGCTTCCAATTCGATAAGATCCTCGTTACTTAGCTCTTCTGCTACACTTTCAACCAACTGTTCAACATCTTCATTATCAATTTCTAACTCAAGCTGTTTACCCAACCCCACTATCTTGTTACTAATCTTAGAAATTATTTCATCTTCATTAAATCCTCTGAAACTGTTCACATATTTTTTCAGGACTTTCTTCCATAGTCCATTCATGCACTGTCCTGTAACCTCATCCCTTGCTGCAATATTGTTCTTTATACAATTCAAAATGTTGTTGTCATTCCAAAATTCTCCGAGCATTTTCTCACCTTCAGTAGCTGCAACAGCCTGAGCGAAGGTCGTACATAAACAATTAGCTTTAAAAGCTGCAATAGCACCTTGATCCATGGGTTGGATGACAGAGGTAGTGTTAGGTGGAATGTACACTACCTTAACATCAGGGTGTATGTCGTCCAGGTGTGGTGGGTGTCCCGGAGCATTATCCAAAATTAACAAAATCTTGAATGCAATCCCTTGTTGCAGACAATACTCCTTGGCTCAAGGAATGAAACAAGTCATGAACCAATCCTCAAACAGTACTAGGGTCATCGAGGCTTTCTCGTTACTTTGATAAAACACTGGCAGTGTGTGCTTGCTGACATGTTTAAAAGTCCTGGGGTTCTCTGAATGATAGATCAGGAAGGGCTTTAGCTTGAAACCAGCTACATTCCCCCCCAACAGAAGTGTAATTCGGTCCTTGAATGCCTTGAATCCTGGGATTTTTTTCTCCTCTTTGTGGATGTATGTCCGTTCAGGCATGCGCTTCCATAATAATCCAGTTTCATCCACATTGAATATTTGCTCAGGCAAATAATTTCCCTCCACGATGACATGATCTAGCTCCTCCTTAAAAGCTTCGGCAGCACCAACATCAGCACTAGCTGCCTCTCCACTCACCTTAACATTGTGTAAACTGTAGCGGTTCTTAAATCTGTCAAACCAGCCATAACTTGCTCTGAAGGTTTGGTCGCACTCATCTCCTGCCTGCTCCTTCAGGCTTTCGAAAAGGCTTCTTGCCTTAGCCTGTAGGGTTAGAAGGCTTAAGGGTACACGCTTTTATATCTGGTCTTCCCTCCATATCACAAGTAATTTTTCCATCTCATGAATAGGACCTTGTCTTTTCTTCGTTATTATAGTTCCCTTTATAGGTGCTGATCCTTTCACTACCTCACGAAAACGTTCCTTGTCCTTCAAAATAGTAGATATGGTCGAGTGCGAGAAACCGAGGTCGCGTGAAATGGTTGCTACAGTTTTTCCATTTTCATGCTGCATTATTATCTTCATTTTCGTCTCAAAAATAATTGACTGTCTCCTTTTCTTCTGAGCACCACCGACAATATCACTTCTACGCTTTCCAGTCATTCTAAAGTGAATTAGATACGAAAATAATGTCAGTACACAACGCGATCATTTGTGGATAAAACGACAGCCAAACACCAACTAAGCGCTCTACGGCGTGGGTTCTGTAGCCACGAGGTGACCCAAGCCACGTGACTCTCTGGTACGGGACAGAAATGTTTCGGTATAGAAAATACGCGCGCCATTTAAAAAAAATTTTGGTACCGACTGCGGCAGTCGTATGTGCGGGTGGTCGTATCGACTGAGGCAGGTCGTAAGTGCGGGTGGTTGTAGGTCGGGTAGGTCGTAAGTCTGGGAGTTGCTGTACTTATCATAAAGGTTGAAGTAAAAAATGAAATTCGCTTTCAAATGAAGTCTTTTCATATTTCTTTGTTTTATACCATCAATAAAGCAAATAAGCAAATGATACCCAAAAATATAGCACAATAGGTAATTTACTACAGTTTGTCCAGCTGTAAATATCCCAAATCATTTATATAACTGATAAAACTTGATATAAATACACGCTTATATATGTGCAGTCCGGGGAGGTAAAACGTTCAGAGGAACAGCCACTGGACTTCAGGCTAGATCAGCTGGACACTTGATTCATACTGCAGTATGTTAGAGCTCACATTAGAATACTCTGACACACAAATTAACTGTACAGTACCTCGTTCATCAGATTTATTGGCCGAGATTTTCGTTTATTTGCACCAAATTTCTTGATACTTGATGACAAAACGATGAAAATGTTAAACTTCTACATCGCTTCATAATACTTCGTAGCATATATTATTCCAGGGGGCCCCCCAAGCTCGCGGATTTTTACTTCGCGGTTCTCGGTCACATTTTAAATAAATTGTTTCCGATTATTTGTGAGAGGATTTTCCAATTACAGTGATCCCTCGGTTAACGAATGCCTCGGTTAACGAAATCCTTACGAAATCGTGTCAACATGTTTTCGCCTGCTCGCCAGCTGTAGTATAATTTTCCAAGTCTATATTAAAATTTTTAGTCATTTTAACAATTATTTAACATAATTGAAGTACAGGGAACTACTGTAGTTTTTAGCGCGCCAAACAGCCACTTGACTCACCCAGATTGGCGTTAGTATGTGTCTCTGCTCAGTGGAGGTAGCATCTTGCTTGAGACTCTCTTCAACATAAACTATTTTTACGTTTTTACAGTACAATTATTGGTCATTCTGAAATTTATTTTACATATTGACAATATATAGTGCAGTGCAGTGTAGTGTTGATTTAAAGAAAATAATCTTGAATTACACCAAGTGAACTAAAAATTTTATGGGTGAAATGGTGGCATGAAGCATGGGGTGACTTCTCTTCCTCCTCCACTGCCTTCTCTTCTCCCTTCTCCTCCACCCCCACTTCTACATGCACACCTCAAAGTAAGTGTACTTTACTGCATTTATTTTTAGTTTGTATGTAATTTTCGGTGAGCTGGAACCAATTACCCAAAATCCCATTGAAACAATGGTTTCGGTTAACAAAATTTTCGGTTAACGAACGACCTTCTGGAACGAATTGTGTTCGTTAACCGAGGGACCACTGTACAAACGAAAATTTTGTCAGTACACAGCGTAATCACTGACGTTGGGACTCGAAAATACATAATTTGAAAAATTTTTGGTACGACAGAGGCAGGTCGTAAGTGCGGGTGGTTGTAAGTCGAGTAGGTCGTAAGTCGGGGAGGAGCTGTATAGTTTGATACAGTACCATGTTAAATATTAGTACAGTTCACAGCTGTATATCACTGATTTACTTCTTTTCTTTGTAATTTGAGTATTTTTTTTCAGGGTTTGAGCTCTAGCATTGGTGAAGAACAACCTAATTTCCCTGGGTCACGCTCCAAGTGGACGGAAAAGCTTGATTTTGTACAGCCAGATCTTTATGATGGCATACCAGTGTATCGTGTCATGGACCGCAAGGGCCAAATCATCGATCCTGCATATGATCCCAAGGTTATTATCAGAGAATTTATCTTATGATGATGATATATTAGTTTTGTTTTTGGTGTAGTGCTTGTTATTATAAGGAATAGTATTATTTATATGAAAAATAAATCAGTTCATTCCTTATAAGCCAATTGAGAAAAAAGTCCTTAGATATATTGGAACTAAACCATGGAATCCTTGATCATGTGGGCTTGTGATGTGGCTCAGTTGTTTATCTTTCTGCCCACGCGCAGCTCTGGCGTGGGCTTGTGATGTAGTGCTATGTGGCTCAGTTGTTTATCCTTCTACCCACGCGGAGCTCTGGCGTGTATCTTATTTTTCCCCCTTTCTTGTACTTGGAGGACCTTAAAATGTTTAAAATTACTTCAAGGAAAAGGGGAGAGAATGTTACTATTACAATATGAAAAAGTCTTGAAGTACTGTATTATACTCACTTCAATTGACATTTTTTGTTATTGATAATTTTAAGGTTTAATATAACACATATTTCAGGTACATATTAAATATCACTTGTGTTGGTTTTTTCATATTTTACAATGGGCATCACTTTTTCTTATTGTGGTAACATCAATAGGTTTGTAAAGTATTTCCTGTGATACTCCTCTTCAACTACCTTGCATTAAAGATTATTATTCTGCTCTTTGTCCCTTTCCATGACTACTTCTTTGCCAACCACCCGAATGAACACACTCCAGGACTTAAAATTTCATGATAAATTTTATTCTTTTTCTGTTATAGTTTTTCGTTGTGTAATTTTTTTTATGTAATATTTAACACACCTTTCATACTACCTATAAATATGTCAGACCTGTAACACCATCCTGTGTAGAGTTCACTTCACTTCTTCAGTTTCCTTGATATTGTTCGCCATTCCATGTTGTATAAGGTATATTTACAGTCGTGTTTGTTTTTCATGTTTCCTACACCACATCTCTCTGTTGCTGATGAAGCTATCACAAACTGTAATGGTATTATGTTGCAGATTACTGAATCAATCCACAACAAATTACTCTTGAACAATGGCAGCAGGTGTGATTATGGTACCAGGGCTTCTGTGGTTGCATATCATTACAGTACAGTATCTCTAAAATATACAGTACAGATTTCTTAAAGATGCTAATTAAAACCTCTACAGTTACTGGTAAAATTTAATGGCAGTTCTTTGTATTAGCCTTTAATGCAATTAATTTTCAGTAATCCTTTATTTCCTAATGATAGTACTGTAAAAATTATAGAATAAGAGAACACAAAAAATACAATGTCTGAATACAGAAATACTAATTTGGCTACAGAAAATACTTAAACTTGTCTACAGAAAAACAAAATACCAGGGGAAGCCTTGAGTGCTCTTGTGAATTTAAAGCTTTGAAACTTTTGGCATAGAGTACATAATGACCCTCTTGTCTTACTTCAGCTGGATGAGGAGGTTGTAGTACGTATGTATCACAAAATGACACTGCTCAACACAATGGATCGCATTATGTATGAATCCCAGCGCCAGGGTCGCATCTCATTTTACATGACCAACTATGGTGAGGAAGGAACACACATTGGCTCAGCTGCTGCACTAGATGACAGAGACCTTGTCTACGGTCAATATCGAGAAGCAGGTAGGAGAGTTAAAAACAGTAAATTTGGTACAGTATATTTAATCAATAGTTTGCAAGTACAGTACAACTTATAACATTTGAATTGAGGAGATCCTAAAAGAAGACTTGGTCCCAGGTAATGAGACAACATAAATATGTAGCCGGATGATTATTTGTGGTGGACCTCGAAAGAAGTTAACCTATTCCTGGCAGTATCATGGTTTCTAGACTTGCTCTCCTTACTCCATGTGTAAACTGGGTAGCCCCACTTCCTCTTGAATTGTAGTGAGGTGTAGCATATTTTATACTGATTTTGTTTTATTGGCTTAGTGTTATAGTTGTGCAGAAATATTGATATTTACCCTGCTGTTGCCATCAGGTAGTAGCAGCTAAACTACACAACTGTGGAAAATGGCTGTAAAATGTTATTGATGATGAAAATAATGATGCCTAGATGAATAATGTTGAATACTCCAAGGCAGAGTTATGAAGTATTGGAGGCACAATCACAGCCAATTCTTAGTGTTTTTCTGTTTTCAGTGTACAGGTATTTAGATATAATAAATATACCTACTGTACAGTACAGTAAGATCTTGTATTTCGTGAGTAATATAGACGGAAAAAATTGCGCCAAATTCAAATTCGCCAAATGCAAATACATGTACTAATGTGAAAAATAACAATATAGACTGGCCACTCTATATCAACTTCTGATTTTCCCATTTATAACCTCCAAATGATACAAATTCTGTATTTAATGATCTGATTGTGCATTCCAGACACTAGTTTTTAGGCTTTTCTCAAGTAACTTAATCACACGCTGCTTATCCTGCATCGAGTACTTGGCAAACTTAACTCCCTTATGATAGTCCCGCTTCTCATTTTCCTTATTTGGCTGCATAGGTGGGTCTGTCCCACCCCCACCAGCACCAGTAGGGCCCCAGTAGAGGTAGAGGCCATTATCTTGACTCGACAGGTGGTAGCACCACCCAAAAAAGCACACAATAGCAGCTCGGGCGGTCGCTAGGATGGCGCAGGCTGCAACGCGATAGTTGCGTTCTTGTAGACCTCTTTTACGTTCACCACCGGCAATTTGATCACCAGAATGCTTGTTGGAAACATTCTTCTTACCTTGTCTTTCCGTATTCATCGCTGACACAACAAAATTGGAGAAAATTGCGAAAATCACGGAGTAATTAACAGAAACCGCACAATTCAACTGATCATGTGATGTAAACAGAGAGCGCTGGTGTAAACCGTTATTAGTCCTCACTGCGAAACATTCTTTTTACTTATTCTTTTCATACAGTATTTATAGGTAACCGCTAAATGTGCAAAAAAAGAACAAAATTTACAGTGTCTCAAAAAACACTTCACAAACAATAGACACGAATCAGTTGAACATGTCATGTCGAACGTAAACTGTAAACATTGCATAACCCCGCACCACACTTAAAACGTTAAGGATGGAATCATGCTATAGCCAACATTCGTATGCAAAAGTTCGTGTTTTACAAACAGCGTTCCCCTATTTATCAATCTCGTTACAACCAATTCACATTGACAAAACACGCGTTGTAGTAGAAATGACTGTAACTGGTATGAGGGCTGTGATCTCATTCAAGATGGTGGCCAGCATTCAGCTGCCTGGATCTTGCGAAACTCATGATATTTTATGCAAAATATAAGACTTGGTTACATTAGGTAGTGCTCGCGAAATGTAATAGCGCGAAATATGAAATCTTCCTGTACTACATACAAATCTACTGCAGTTAGTTTGTCTGGTATACTTTGTTAAGATTTTCAATTGATGTTTTATATTCTTATAGATTATAAGAGGTGCATGAAATAATACTGTAGTAAAAAAGTGTCAGTGGTGCCTCCTTTCCTCTGTAGGGAGAAGGCTAGAAGGATATTAGGGATGTGCCTTTTTTAACCTTTACGTATATCTCGGCTTATAAGACGGAATTTGAACATTAAAAAAATCTGCCCAAAGTTAGGGGGTCGTCTTAATCACCAAGTATAAAATTCTTACCTCTTAAATATTGCGTGTCAAGAGTGGTGATGGAAACATGGTAAACCACTCACAAAGTCCTACCAGGGAAAGTGACCTTGACTGTGACCGCCTGTGGCTATTTTTAGCCGTCCTTGTGTTCGGAGGTGGTCAGTAATGCATATCTGTATATTTACTGATCATAATACTTATCTCCTATAAATAATTAATTTAAAATTAATTTTTTTACAAAGAATATTCAGTAAATGACTGCGTTAATTCTTGAAACTACCGACAGTGGTAAATTTAGGATATAAATGATGAACAGAAGTCACTTCATGGAGTCATGGATTCGGAGTTTGGTCCTTAATGATCACCTACCAGTTATAATGCTAGCCTCCCTTTTTCGCGAAACAAGTATATAAATTAAAGAAAATACTTGCAGTGTGTTTAATGTATTACAGTATATTATAAATAAATAAATAAACAAATAAATCGGCAAATCTATTTTAAGTAAATGGAAATATTTTACTCACACCAACATTAGTTCCAATTAAATAACTGCCGCTTAAGTGAGTCACTAGTGTACACCAGCCGGTATAATTTGATGCCAATACTTGAAGTGAATTGGCATTATTTTAAATAACCAACAATAAATAAATGGAAAAAAGATCAAAGGTGAGAAACATTATATTGTATGTATGTTGTGTTGTCAAAGGAAGAGAAACAATTGAAACTCTGCAATTGTGTGTAAATGAGACAGAAAGATAAATCAGCAACCTAAGACTTGGTCACAATTTTCGTGATGCCATATGGAAGTAGGGTCTACCATTAGACAATACTGTACATTGTGCTTCCAATATCTTCCCAGGCAGTAGAATCTCCCCATTTGGTAGCTGCCTAAAACTTTTAGTAATATTACTTTGATACAACATGATAAATTAGACAAACAATGAAAATAAACAAACAAAAGTTATTTACCAAGACCTCTCTGAGAACAGAGGGATGGAGGGGGAAGGAAGGAGGTTGAGATAAGACGGCTATTTATAGCCTGTCTTTGTGTAGGAAGTCGACCACACTAGAAATAATTAATTTTATTATGGTAGTGTTGTGAGGATGTGTGAGTGGTGTGGGGGTTGTGGTAGTGTTGTGAGGATGTGTATGTGGTGTGGGGGGTTGTGGTAGTGTGATGTAGTGGTGTGGTGTTGTGAGGATGCTGTGGTAGTGTGGGGGCTTTGTGTTCAGGATGTGTGAGTGGTGTGGGGGGGTTGTGCAGTGGTGGTGTTATGTAGGAGTGTTGTGAGGATGTGGTAGTGGGAGGATGCTGTGAGTAGTGTGGGGGCTTTGTGGTACAGTTGTGAGGATGTGTGAGTGGTGTGGGGGGGTTGTGGTAGTGTTGTGAGGATGCTGTATGAGTAGTGTGGGGGCTTTGTGGTACAGTTGTGAGGATGTGTGAGTGGTGTGGGGGGGTTGTGGTAGTGTTGTGAGGATGCTGTATGAGTAGTGTGGGGGCTTTGTGGTATAGTTGTGAGGATGTGTAAGTGGTGTGGGGGGGTTGTGGTTGTTGTGAGGATGTGTGAGTGGTGTGGGGGGGTTGTGGTAGTGGGAGGATGTATGAGTAGTGTGGGGACTTTGTGGTTCAGTTGTGAGGATGTGTGAGTGGTGTGGGGGGGTTGTGCAGTGGTAGTGTTAGGAGGATGCTGTATGAGTAGTGTGGGGGCTTTGTGGTTCAGTTGTGAGGATGTGTGAGTGGTGTGGGGGGGTTGTGCAGTGGTAGTGTTAGGAGGATGCGGTATGAGTAGTGTGGGGGCTTTGTGGTACAGTTGTGAGGATGTGTGAGTGGTGTGGGGGGGTTGTGGGAGTGAGTCATAACCACACACCACCCTCAACACACTACCTCTTTCCTGCATCACCATCCAACACTACCAACGTGCAACACACCTGGTCACCTCTACATTATTAACACCTATACTGGAGTTGATTGGGATCATGTGCTGTGTACATCGATGTATTTCTGCCCGACACTGAATACGTCATCAACCTCTAGGGTCCAGGATAATATTAAGCCCTGGCACGGTGACTCCTCTCTCTTAAAGTGCATTTAGGTGATTGTATTTGGCGTCATCTAATCCCTAACTTCATAATGGAGTTGTCAAGGCTTCACTGTAATTACAATCTCCAGTTTTTTAGTTTCGTTTATTCAACTGGTATTATATCTACAAGAGTTATTTAACCAGACGTGGACATTTCTTTTTGTAAAGTCATATGTAGTATGAAATACAATATTTCAGTATACGAGTGTCATGTTGAGATGGGAGTGGTGACATTAGTGGGGCAGCTAAATGCAATTTTTCAAGAGAATCATGAAAATGGTGGTACAAGCACCAAATTTGGCATGGTAATTCTCTAATGGTTACTAGTCAAGTCTGCCTGATTGGCCATTTAAAAATTCAAGATGGCGACCATTTTTCAAGGTGACCGCCATATTGACCTTCAAAAGTTGATTTTTCTTATAGAAATTGATGTAGTTGGTCAATCTGGGTGATCTTGGTGTCGATATGTATGTTTTCAAGCATGCTTAGATGATTTTTTATAGTTTTAAGTCCATTGTAACATTTTTATCCACATAAAATAACACTTTTAGTAAAAAATATAACAAAAAAGAACTTACTAAAAAAAAGTACGGTAAACAGTGGGAACACAGTCCCACCACCGAGACGAGGTAACACTCCCACCACCGATCGTCTCGTGTGAAGCAAGCATATAAATTAAAGAAAATACTTGCAGTGTGTTTAATATGTTACAGTATATTATAAATAAACAAATAAATCGGTAAATCCATTTCAAGTAAATGGAAAAATTTTACTCGACACCGACATTAGTTCCAGTTACCGGTAAATAGCAGACGCTTCAGTGACGTCACTAGTGTTTACACTACACCAGCGGGTAACATTTGATGACATTACTTGAAGTGAATTGGCCTTATTTTAAAAAACCAAGGATGGTTGGTAGAGGACTACTGAGTCAGTGGGTAAGTGTCACATTTGGGGTACTGGTCTTATACAGCGAATAGAGCTCAAAAACTACTTTTTAAATGGAAATTTGGGGGGGCCGTCTTATGCACCCCGACGCCTTATAGGCCGAGATATACGGTAAGTCATCAGAGCCACATATTAGCGCTCCTCACTTTTACATATATCTGTCAACTCCCAAGCCAACACCTTCAGTCTGCTTAACTGCAAATTTTTCTTATATTGCATGTTTTTAAGGGCCTGAAGATAATGTTATGGCCCATGTCATATGTGTGCGTGGTGTCCATTCGTCCAACTTCTTAAAGATTTTGTCTGCTTCATTGTGTCACCCAGGTATTAGAACTCAGGAACACCATTCAAGGATATATCCCCAATGTTGAGTTTCTCCAGCCTTGCTAAGGTATATAGGACACTTAAAGTTAACAGTCTGCTATCTACTCCGCTGCATCTATTTTGTATCCACCTTCCACACTCACTGCATATTGTTGAGTTTCTGCATACACCTTTCTTACAGACAGCAAATGGTCATTTTCCACATTCCACTACATCATATGGATCCCTCGCTCATGGCCACTAATGAATACAGTACTCTTGTTTTTACGACATTCACTCTCAAGCCCTTTGACTCCATTTCAAATTTCCATTTCATAAATGTTTTCCACTACCTCTTCAACACTATCAGCACTAGATTATCAATATACTACAACTCCCATGGTATACCAGTTCTAAAGTCTTATGAAGTTGCCTATAGCACCATGACAAACAGAAAGGGGCTCAAGGTATACCCCTGGTGAATCACTACTTTTACCTTAAATTCATCACTTTCCTCACCATTTACTCTCATATCGGTTTTTCAGCCCAACTATAATACCATTACCACTTGAACAGACACTCCTTAACCTCTAGCTTTCTCAATCATACTTTATTACTTTATGTGGTACCCTGTCAAATGCCTTCTCTAAGTCTACAAATATGAAGTACAGTACATTCTCTCCTTCCCTATATATTTCTTTTGCTGTAGTTGCCTGGTTATAAAGTAATGCCTCTGTAGTCCCCATACTTGCATTTCATTAATGTCCACACTTCCATATCAATTTCTTGATCACTTTTTCTACAACTTTCATAACATGGTCTAACAGCTTCAGGCACCTGTAGCTTCCATTTTAAGTGCATCACCTTTTCCCCTTTTAAGTTTTTACAATCACACTTCTGCAGTCATTTGGAACAGTACACTCCAATCTCCATCCACACTACTGTATTTAGCATATCTGCTAATCCATCCTGTTCTTGCTTCATAGCCTTGTAAAACTCTTCTGGCCTTTTAATTTGTCTCCAGGTTTTCTTCCTTGTCACCACCCATCCCACCCATCTTCCTTTCTCTCTGTCCACTGCATCATTCCACCACAATGCTACTGCATACCTGGCTGGGCCTTTTGTCCAGCCACATATCTTGTCAGCCACACTCAATAAAACATTCTTTCATATGGCCCAGCATCTTGCTACTACCCCTTACACCGTCACGGCTGATTCCTCTCTTTTCAACTCTGCATAAAATGCTTCCTGAACATTCTATTCCTTCAATTTTCACTGTCTCCTTGGAACAAACACATTCTTCCTTTCCCTGCATCTATTAGGCAATATGTCACACACATGTAATCAGGACAAATAAATAGCTTAGTCTGACCAGTAGATGGTAATTTAGCCACCAGTCATTTGAAAATGAGAAAGCTGAATGTAATTTGATTCACTGTACTGAACAGTAACAGACTGAGACAGGTAAATACAGTGTTAATGTACTGTAACTACCAGGAAGACAGTGCCTTGGAGGAGCTCAATAAGATACTCTCAGAATCCTGTTTTTACAAACCCACAAAAGTGACTCGCACGGCCTTATTCCTTTCTTTATAGTTCAGTCAGTTTGTTGTCTGAAGATTCGAATTCCATTCTGAATACCAAAGCAAAAACTCCAAAGTATGTTTTTTTCTGTTATCAGGTGTGCTGATGTGGCGAGGGTTCTCTCTGGATCGCTTCATGAACCAATGTTATGGCAATGAGAGGGATAGTGGAAAAGGGAGACAGATGCCTGTTCATTATGGTTCTAATGAGCACAACTTTGTTACTATTTCTTCACCATTAGCCACACAGATGCCTCAAGGTATGTATATCATGCTTGTGTGTACAGGGTATGAGGTGCTGTGTGCAAAAACTCTACAAGTGCCAAAAAATGAGTATAATTTTATCACACCCAACTAATGTACAATGCTACCCCCGTCAGCTGGTGAATGAAGGTACCAAGTTTTCAAACGGCGGGTGGCTCTACCAATCGACTTGCATTACACATGCCCCACTGACAATTGACTTTTTAACATTATTATTTTACATTATTCCTATATGAAGTTATAATCAATAATGTATACCGGCATATATTTTAAGGTTTGTAATATACAAAACATAATTATGTTTTCATAATTTCATGTCATAACATAATTTTGCCTATTACTGCATGCTTCTTCACATACAATGCAATTCTTTAGTTCAAAAGTTATGACATTTCAGTGTTGCCAATAAGAAATTATGTACAGTATTAACTGGGAATGCACTTCTGGCCAAAACTTTTAAGTTTACTTGGGCTTAAATTTTGTATGGAAACAATTGTAAATCAATAGAAAACTTGAAATACATAAAGATATACAGTAGACCCTTGATATTTGCAGAGGTTAGGTTCTTGTAAAACCTCTCAGATCAGAAACCATGAATGTATACACCTTAGTTCAATGGGAGGAACTTGGTTAGGTTCCTGGTCAAGATGTATCTGGTGCTGCTCTGGCAACAGCCAGGTCAACTGTTATGTTGGCACATACCCCAACTTACTCCCCTTAACCCCCTCCTCCCCACCGGAATATCAGCAAGTTCTTGACAGAAGTTACAATTTCATTTGGGAAAGGAGTTGAACCAGTTTTGAACAGTGGTGAACAACGCAACAGTAACAGCTGAGCGTCGTCCCCAAGTTTACCTTCTCACAGTGATGTCCCAAGTACCCAGTGATAACTGCTCATGAGACCCAACAACAAGCACTGATGTGTTAATCTGTCCACGATAGAGACGCCTGGTGCCACACCTGACTGTACACCACTTGATTGAGTTGCTACAGCATCATGCGAGGTCCCCCATAACACCATCTGTGAGAGAATTACTAAACCATTTGAGGTCCCTCATAACACCATCTGTGAGGGAGTTCCTACACCATGTGAGGTCCCTCATAACACCATCTGTGAGGGAGTTCCTACACCATGTGAGGTCCCCCATAACACCATCTGTGAGAGAATTACTAAACCATTTGAGGTCCCTCATAACACCATCTGTGAGGGAGTTCCTACACCATGTGAGGTCCCTCATAACACCATCTGTGAGGGAGTTCCTACACCATGTGAGGTCCCCCATAACACCATCTGTGAGGGAGTTCCTACACCATGTGAGGTCCCCCATAACACCATCTGTGAGAGAATTACTACACCATGTGTGGTCCCTCATAACATCATCTGTGAGGGAGTTACTATACCATGTGAGGTCCCTCATAACACCCTCTGTGAGAGAATTACTACACCATGTGAGGTCCCTCATAACACCATCTGTGAGAGAATTACTACACCATGTGAGGTCCCTCATAACACCATCTGTGAGGTAATTACTACACCATGTGAGGTCCCCCATAACATCATCTGTGAGAGAATTACTATGCCATGTCAGGTCCCTCATAACACCATCTGTGAGGTAATTACTACACCATGTGAGGTCCCTCATAACACCATCTGTGAGAGAATTACTACACCATGTGAGGTCCCTCATAACACCATCTGTGAGGTAATTACTACACCATGTGAGGTCCCCCATAACATCATCTGTGAGGTAATTACTACACCATGTGAGGTCTCTCATAACACCATCTGTGAGAGAATTACTACAACATGTGAGGTCCCCCATAACATCATCTGTGAGGTAATTATTACACCATGTGAGGTCCCTTATAACACCATCTGTTAGGTAATTACTACACCATGTGAGGTTCCTCATAACACCATCTGTGAGAGAATTACTACACCATGTGAGATTCCTTATAACACCATCTGTTAGGTAATTACTACGCCATGTCAGGTCCCTCATAACACCATCTGTGAGAGAATTACTACACAATGTGAGGTCCCTTATAACACCATCTGTTTGGTAATTACTACACCATGTGAGGTCCCTCATAACACCATCTGTGAGAGAATTACTGAGGTCCCTCATAACATCATCTCTGAGAGAATTACTACACCATGTCAGGTCCCTCATAACACCATCTGTGAGAGAATTACTACACCATGTCAGGTCCCTCATAACACCATCTGTGAGGTAATTACTACACCATGTCAGGTCCCCCATAACATCATCTGTGAGAGAATTACTACACCATGTCAGGTCACCCATAACACCATCTGTAAGGGGATTACTACACCATGTCAGGTCCCTCATAACACCATCTGTGAGGTAATTACTACACCGTGTGAGGTCCCTCTTAACACCATCTGTGAGGGAGTTACTACATTATGTGAGGTCCCTCCTAACACCATCTGTGAGGGAATTACTACACTACTTATTTGCCGTTCAACACCTCAGTCCATGTGACCTATGTAACCTCCACTGTAGACATTAATTTGTATTTTCACTGTATGTTCCTTTTTCTTTCTCTAATGAAAGCTTTTGTTAACACCCCCCCCCCTCATGTTTTGTATGTCATAAGTAATTTTTGTCCAATGTATATTTTCAGCCTTCAGGATGCTGAACTTTTTTCAATAAACCGTTAATTATTATCATTATTATTATTATTTATTATTTAATGTTTAAGAACAGTGACTATAATAAACACTACAGTAAACCCTTGATAATTCGGCATTTGATAACTCGGAATTTCATATAACTCGGCATGGATATGGTCTTCAAATGTATTAGTATAACTCGAGAAATTCCTAGATATGTATAAATTGTCGAGGAAATCTTGGCATAACTGGCCACCTGCATCACCTACCATGCCTCTGTGTTAGAGCCCCATTTGTGCCGAGTTATGGAGGGTTTACTGTACAGGAGGTCCCTCGAGTTACGAATGGTTTCCGTTCCTGAGGATGTTCATAAGTCTGATTTGTACGTACAGTAAACCCTTGATAACTCGGCACACACGGGGCTCTGGCTTTGCCGAGTTATCCCAAATTCCGACTTACAGAGCCATTTCTCCCCCCTCCTACAAAAATACAACAATAAAAAAAATATCGACCCATATATGTGTACGATCAAAGACAAAAGTCGTGTTGCGGTTTTGTCCCAAGATTAAATATAACTCGTGAAACATTTTGAGAGCCCCCTACCACAAGGCAGAGCACACCAAAAGCTTAGCCCTTTGGCATATGTTTTCACCAAATTTCACAACACGACTTTTGTCTTTCATTGGACAGTAGCTAAAAAAAGTATCTGTGCATACGTTGTGTGAAACAATACGATATCACGGACGATGGGTATTGGGATAGGCATGTTGTCTCCTTATACTAAGAGAAAGTAATCACTTAACTGTTTATTTTATTCCAATATGCCAACTCACCCCCAGTTTTGGATACTAAATGGTGGTGGGTGAAGACACACATACCAACCTTCCCAAGACATTACGAGTTGCATGTACAATTTAGGAGGTCATCAGATCCACCCTGTCAGATACTTTTTTTAGCTACTGTACATGTAATTACTGAATGTAAAAAATTAACTCTTACTAGCACTGCAGGCAAAGAATGAAGCAGCATAGTAGGTGACACAGATGCATGGTAGGTGACACAGATGCATGGGAGGTGACACAGGCATGGTAGGTGACACAGATTTTTCCCAGATAATTTTATATATCTCGGCATTTCCCAAGTTATACTAATACAGTACATTCTGAGACCATATCCGTGCCGAGTTATATGAAATTCTGAGTTATCAAATACCAAGTTATTGAGGGTTTACTGTATTTTGGTTTTAAAAAAATATACGAGTACAGTCTCTCCTTGACTTATGACATATTCGACTCAATACAACCCAGAAATACGTCGGCCATGGTCGTATAAAATATTTTTCACATTACGTATTTTCGAGTCCCAACATTTGGTCGTAATGTGCATTCAGCTGACTACATTAAAGGTAAGTGCACAGTAACACTACACTTAATTAATTTTTCATTATTGATTACTTTTACTGTACAGTACTGTATTTCATTTTAGAACTTCTATGTATTATTTTTGCCTTTTCGACTTACGAACAAATCGACTTACGACCCGGTCGTCAGGGCGGAACCCTGTCGTAAGTCAAGGAGAGACTGTATATAGGACATTCCCGGTATGCAGTTCTGTATGGCATAATCATAAGTGTTATCCTGTTTGTTATTCTACAAATCCATACATCTCTCCGCAGCATCTTGTGACTAACCTTGCCTGCCAAATACTTATACCATTAAATCCTTCTTTAAAGAGTTTGACTTTTATAGAGACAGATCTAGGTTACAGTGGAGTCTAGTACTGTATGTAAGTCATATTTTCTCTTGATTGTCTTTAATTTTCACCTGCTTGAAGAAAGCATGATTAATTCCTGTTTTTTCACTGTTTCTCTCTTTAAGCTGTTGGAAGTGCATATGCCTACAAACGTGCTCAGAATGGTCAGTGTGTCATCTGTTACTTTGGGGAAGGAACATCTAGTGAAGGAGATGCTCATGCTGCATTTAACTTCTCAGCAACACTTGAATGTCCTTTGATATTTTTCTGGTTGGTGGAAGGCTATTGCTTTTATTTTTTACTGATGGTATATAGCTTACTTTTATGTCATTGGTATTAATATTTTTATATGCTTTTAAAATACTTGGCTTGTTGACTGTCCTACAAACATACTGTAATAACTTTCTAGGTTCATGATCTCCAATTGCACACCTTTGATCAAATAACAGGATTTTAGGAGCTGCTTCTCATTTTGTTGTACAACACTGTAGATAATAAAGTGATATCTCTGTTATCCGGAACAATTGATGCAGAGCTTTTCCGGGAATGAGAGATTTCCGGTTTGCAGAGCACTTCCGGGAATGAGAGATTTCCGGGTAACGAGACGACTTTCCCAAAGCCAAGAAATCCCTCATCCCCGGAATTTTCCGAGTAACGGAAAAATATTCTTGGAAGTTCCAGAAATTGCCCATTACATCTTCTCTTGAACCCGGAAAAATATCCCCCCTCCCAGGAATTTTCCGGGTACCAGAAAATATTTCTTGGATTTTCCGGAAATTGCGCTTCATTTTCATCTCTCAAACCCGGAAAGAACTCCCCCATCCCCAGAATTTTCGTGGTATCGGGAAAATTTTCTCAGAATTTTCCGGAAAATTTGCCCCTCAGAAAATCGTTCCCAAAGCCTGAATTTTCTGGAAAATTCCGACTGGGAATGATTTTCCGAGAAAATTTCAATTCCGGCTATGGGAGAGTTCTAGGTTTGAAGGATTCCAGCTCAGGGAGATATTACTAACAAGTGCAGTGTATTTTAAATTTTGTTAGCATACAACAGTGGAGTCATGATAATTTTTGGGTTAGCTACCAGAAGACATCGTGAATTATCAAATTGCGAATTATAGTTTAATTGATTTAAATGGAAATAATTAGCTTGGATCCAAAGGCCAAAAATACCCATAAACTGTTCCAAAACTACTTTAATAAACACTGAACATTGTAACATTGTACATTATATAAAAAGAATATACAGTAACATGTGGATATTTAACAAAAGGTAGCTCTGCATTACATAAACAGCTCCTTCCCTTCTCAAAATCAGCCTGTGGGTTACGCCATCGGGACAGGCAGGTGCTGGGCTGGCTGTGACTGCGTTATGTAAAAAGAAAAGAAAAGAAGGAATTTAATACCATAATAACTCTTCTGGGAGTTGAATGAGTGATTTATCCATGAATATTGATTACTTTATGATAAAGTTTTATTAACCTGATACCAAATGAACCTAAATAATATGGTAATTGTAGTGAAATCGAATAATGTTGTATTAACACTCTTGGGGTTTTCATACGTAATATTGCATATAATCTAAATCATCGCTTTAGGGTATTCATACACAAATTTGCATATGAAGTAAAAAATTGAAATAAAATACAATGATATCTGGAGATGTTCAGGGTACTTGGTTCTAACTACGGGGGCGAACATAAACACCTGTAGAGTTCTGTAGGTTCTTATTAACGGAAATATACAGGAGTGCGCTTACAAGCACAGGTAGTCCTTACACTCCTATAGGGTCAACTGACCTCACTCTGACCTCTCGGGCGACATGTGGTAAGTGGTATACTAGCAGCTTCCAGATGTCGCCAGGCACATTTATCTAAGCGTGTGGTGACATGAAACGGGCATTGCCACACGCTACTGACTAGAGAAATAATGTGTATATATAGAGTACACACATGGTATACATACAACATACATAATATACATACACCTCCCCCCCCCTATACGCTCATAGCAAAATCTTGAGCGGACCTTTTCCTGTGGATCCATTCTGAGCATCGAGGGGCTTAATCACTGGGGTGGGATATGGGACTCAGCACTGGTGACGGGGTCAGCGGGATGCGTTACGGGGCGGAGGAAACGGCGGTTCCTCCACCACACCCGACCGCTGGGTAACCGCACCTGGTAGTCCCGTGACCTGCCGAGACCCATGACTAAGCCCACTTTGTCCCAACGTAGGGAGGTCGGGTCCTGGACACGGACTTGGGTGCCGACACTCAACCTGGGGAGAGGACGGGCGTGGTCGTTGTGGCGGGCGACGACGTCTTGAATACGTTCGGCGGCTCGGCGATCAAAATCCTCTGTCTTGGCCTGCCACTCCTTGGAGAAGGATTGAGGGTGAGCAGGGACACAAGAACGGAGGGGGCGTCCATACAAGACCTGGGCAGGGGAGCGTCTGGTGTAATTGGGTGTGTTGCGGAGCTCAAGGAGACCCTGGTCAAAGGCCTCGCAGTCAATATTCCCAGAAGGGGCCACTTTGAGGATGAGGTGCTTCAGGGATTTGACAGCAGCCTCAGCGTGGCCGTTGGACTGCGGGTAATGAGGCGGTGACAACACATGCCGGACTCCCCATCGGTTGAGGAACGCGGCAAAGTCCCGGCTTGTGAACTGGGGCCCTCCGTTGGTTCGCAGGCGCGCAGGAACGCCCACGTAACTGAAGTAGTGGCGGAACTTGCTGATGGTGGCGGCAGGTCAGTGTTATGAGACCAACTAATCCCCCACCCTATCTTCACCTGACATTGAGTCAGGTTAGGTCAAGTCCCCCCCCCCAAAAAAAATACTTTAACTTTCATCTTCATTCAAGACATTTTCAGAAAATTCTCTCGATTTTCAACCTCGGAAAATTTGTTCCTAAAGCTGGAAATTTTTGGAAAATTCTGGCTTTGGGAATGATTTTCTGAGCAAATTTCAATTCCGGTTATCGGAGATTTCCGGGTTTGAGGGATTACTGCTAACGGAGATATTACAAATTTTATGTTTGTGTACGAATGCTAGACACCCAAGATGCACATTTGGTAACGTCATCATGATCTGCCAGCTTTGTAGACTGCACCACTCTCTCTCTTGTGTTTAAAGGACCCAGGATATAATGTTGACCCACTTTTCCCACTCATTTTCTTGTGGCTTGTGCTGATTACTCGTGTACCACAGCGATTTAATTTATTCATAACAGTGTTGAGAGTTTTGAACCATGCCTTCTGTTGTTGGGGAGGGTGGAAGGGTGGGAAAATGTCAAAAGTGCAAGGAGATTGCACCAGGTTGTGATAGTGTGGTGCCTCCTGATGCCTCTCCCTGTTTCCATGGCCCTTCTTACGTAAGTGATAGTTTTTCTGGCCCTTCAACAAGCAGTCCTGGTGCTATGACTCGATATGTACAATTATCTTTTGCTCCCGGATCAAAAAAAATGAAACCACTGTGGCAGCCGATGCTCAGCTGGGAATCATGAATATTTAACCGCAGAATTAAAAAGGAGGTAGTAATGAAGGTGCCTGGAAATTATCATGACTTCACTGTACTATACATTATGGTCAATATTGCACTGTAAGATGGATAGAAACTTTTTTCATTGATATTGAAATTGAAATATGCATACAGTACCACATTTAAATTCTCACCCAAGTTAGTTTACTCATACTATTTCCCGCTTTAAATCTAAATAATTCTTTAAACACTATTTTTAGCCGTAACAATGGATATGCCATTTCAACACCTACGAGTGAGCAGTATCGTGGAGATGGTGTTGCTGCAAGAGGTCCGGCTTATGGTATGGCCACCATTCGCGTTGATGGGAATGATGTCTTTGCTGTTTATAATGTTACCAAAGCTGCACGACACATTACTGTTACTGAAAACCGTCCAGTTCTCATAGAGGCTATGACTTACAGGTAATCATGCAGAAAGTTTCTCTTTTTATTTTGATATTACAGGTTGACAACCCTTTATCTGAAATTCTGAAAACCGAAAGTTTTTTTGTGGAGCAATTTTTTTTTTTTTTTTTTTTTATAACAGGGATTAGCTCACCCAGGCATAGATCACTGACCCACATCGGTGCCTAGGGGCGAAAATGTAATAGAAATACTAATTATAATAATAATAATAATTATTCATAGTACCGGTAAATAAAAATTTTAATAAAAAATACACCAAAATAAAATAATAATAATAATAACAATAATAATAAAATATAATAAAAAATTAATAATAATAATAATAACAATAATACTGTATTAATAAAATAATAATAATAATAATAATAATAATAATAATGATAATAATAATAAAGAAATACTGTACAAGAATGAAAAAAGATAAAAAGTGAGAAACACGACCTAGACCTATGAATTATTATTATTATTATTATTATTATTATTATTATTATTATTATGATTATGATTATTATTATTATTATTATTATTATTATTATTATTATTATTATTATTATTATCATTATCATTATTATTATTATTATTATTATTATTATTATTATTATTATTTATTATTTATTCATCATCATCATCATCATCATCATCATCATCATCATCATCATCATCATTACTGCCTCCCGGGCCCCAATGTGGGTCAGTGACTTGTGCCTGGGTGGGCTATTACACATAAAAAAAAAACTAACCATTCTGAAAACTGAAAAATTCCCAAATCCAAAAAGCCTCTGGCCCCAAGGATTTCGGATAAGGGATTGTCAACCTGCATTAATAATTCTTATGCAGAGTGGATCAGACAACTCCTGTATAGGTAAGTGCATCATCAGGTTTGACAACCCAGGATTTCTTGAACTCCCAACATACATGACGAGGACTAAATTCCAGAAATCCTAAAAACATTATTTCTCCTGACACAATCATAGTCCCCCAAAATGAAGTAGTCATTTGCCAGATAAGCCAACAAGCATGTGTTCTGTGATCTATGTTGCCAGTGAGTATTAACTAGCAACAGAACTAATTTCGCTTAGTTGCAGTCACCTGGCCTCACCAAATTTGCTCCTGGCTTGCTCTTAGTTTTAGGAATTTAAGTGGCTCCCTTTAACATATTTTGGACATTTATATGAGAGTAGACTAATTGCATTGCAGTCATAGGCATTGTTATTATACAGGAATACCTCAATTTATGATAGTTGTGTTCTGAGAAGTGCTATTGGAAATTGAAATATCATGAAATAAATCATATTTATCCATTTATTACCATTACTGTATACGGTAATTCCTTCAAAACCAAAACCCTAACATGTAATAAAATGTTACAGTACTTTACAACACAACTTAAATATCTGCATGTATAAAAATTTAAAATGTCTTATATATAGTCAACAATTTAATGCGAACAAAATTAATTTACTAACTACGTACATAAAGGACTACTGTAGTGGACATTGTGTGAGGTGATGCAGTGGAGGAGTGGAAGAGGGTGGAGGGGTTACTGGGAGGATAAGGGAGTGGCAGTAGGAGCATTTGTCACCCTCTGGGTCAACTCCATCTTTTAACTTAGGCAGAGTTACCACTAGAATAGGTCTTGGTCTGAAGTAAAAGTCCATTGTTGATTATCCTGCTCTTTTCTTCTCCAGAATATAAAGCTCCTTGTAATTTTTTCAGCATTTTAATTTTTGTTTTTTGTTGGATCTCACTTGTTAGATACAGGTTAGGTATGGGTTTCTGCTTCTTATTCTGAGTCTTGTCTCTTTACATAAGACCTCTCTTGTCTTTCTGACTTTTGTCTTATGTGAGACTTTATTTCCAGTCTTCCATTCAAGGTTTGATAATGATTGCAGAGTCATTTGATATATCTAATATTGCTTATGTCGTTGTGGTTCTCTTGTTACTTTGGAGCACTCTAGAACAGTGGTACTCAAACTGGGGAGCATGAGGTTGGTACGGGGGGGGGGGGAACGTGAGGCCATGTGATAAACATACAGCATAGTCTCTCCTCGACTTACAACGGGGGTTCTGTCTCGACGACCAGGTCGTAAGTCAAAAAGGCGAAAATTATACATAGAAATTCTAAAATGGGTGTCCCTTTTTCTTCTCAGCACCACGAGAGCTCTCACTTTTATGCTTGCCAACCATTTTAAAGGGAATTACAAACAAAAATTTTGTCGGTACACAGCACGATCACTAACGTCAGGACTTGAAAATACGTAATGTGAAAAATATTTTGTAGGACCATGGCCGTCATATGTCCGGGTTGTCGTAAGTCGAATGTGTCGTAAGTCAAGGAGAGACTGTATAATTAAAACATTCTTAATCCTTACTCTTTTTATCCAGATTTCTGTTTTATCCGGATTGGCAAACCACTCCGGACAAATTTATGTTACCGGTATTCCGGATTAACATGAAATAGTTGGCTCTACCCACAAGGTCGCAAAAATAAATAAAATTTTTTGAATTACATGAATCACTAACCTGCAGTATAATACAGTAAAACCTGGGGAAGATTAAATAAAAAATCTGATAAAATGAACCACACTGACTGAATACTGTACAGTAGTCTAATCAGATTTGCTATAGACCTACTGAGAACTAAGACACTGTAAGCAGGCTGGGGCTGATCAGGTGTTGCCACATTCGTCAGGTTTATTTATTTATTGATTCAGTATTATATTCTCATATGATTGGCCACTTACAGTTTTTCATCAAGATTAATATAACATCTTCAGTAATAGAGAAAAATACAATACTTTATTTAATTTGTAATATGACTTGAAAATAAAAAGATAAGCTGTATCACAAGGTTGTTTACTCAGATGTGCTCGTGTGAGCCTTCAGTAGACCAGCTTACAACAGGGGTCACTAAAACACACTGTATAGTATTTACTATGAAGATACCTTAAAAGTGTTATATACTACCTTTGAGTGATATATGATATCTCAGTTTGGCTACTTGTACTTCGACAAATGATTAATGAATAAACCAGAGTTTATCCAGATACAGTACATAATATTTTAAACTACAATATTACTTACTAGTGATGATAAATACACAACAATTGTGTTTATTAAGTGGTGATAAATACACTGCAATAGCATTTATTTAATAATGAAAAATTCACAACTGTACTGTACTAATTTACTAAGTGTTGAAGACAGACATTGTGGTAAGCCAATCAACTGTTTGCTCTTTGTAAACAATGACTCATGGTGTTCAGTGTGGGATTCTTTTTTCAGGAAAGTTGATACTTTTAGGATAATATTTTATCAACCTGTCACCAACTGATCCTAAATTATATGAGAATTGTGGTGAAGTTGCATAAAGAAGTGTTAAAGGAATCTTGGGGGAGAGAGGGGGATGGAGCCACCCACCCATGCTACCCCGCTACCCCAATGCCAGCTGCTCACAGATAAACATCCGTTTTTCACATACAATATACTCGTACACTTATTTGTTCCTATTTTTATCTTTATAGTACTGTGCAGTATAAAGTTTTCTCTTTATTCACAAGACAACTTGTGTGGTTACTTACACATAACACTTTATAGTGGTCCCTCGGTTAACAAAATTTTGGTTAACGAATTACCTTCCATAAGAATCTTCAATTCGGTTTTCGAAAAAAAATTTGATTAACGAAATCCTTACGAAAATCACGTTTTGTTTTGAACATCAGCTGATAAGCTGAGGAGGTACTCAGCTAATTCAGTAATCTCTTCTATGTTTACATTCGTTTCCAATGGAGTAAATATAAAGAAAATTGTGCTCTTTAATATTTGTGCATTTTTTTATACAGTATTAAAATTATTGGTCATTCTAAAATTTAGCCATCCAAGCTGTCTACATAAAGGTTTTCAACTATTATTTTTGGCTTGATATATGTAACTTTATTCATTTATTGAAACTCATTTACATGCATACGCTGTCCTAAGGGCAAAGCTGAACTGTACATGTAATCAGAATAATGTACAAAATGATTACTAAAATTTTTGTCTAGTGCAAACTATGGCATGTTTACCTTCAAATTAATCACTATCTTATAAGAATTCCAGCAACGTAAATTATATTCTCCTCCGGTCACGTCTATAAAATTGTATAAGCAAGAAACAAATACTCAATCTAAAGGACATAAACAAATTAATACTTCACCAGACCTTGGCACTAAATGTCAAACCTGTCACTGTCATCCCCCCCTCCCAACCCCCTCCTCCTCCCAGCGAAGGTTTCTGGTTATACAATAGGCTTTAATCTTATATAATATCTCAGACTAAAGATAAGGAGAATATAATTTGCATTGCTGGAATCCTTGCAAGACAGTGAATAATTTGAATATAAACGTCATATATTTTGCACAAAAGAAAACAATTTTGCACTCTAATAAAATTCTTAAATTAGATCTAAAATTTGTATGTACGTATGTCTAATGCAAATTTTAGCTTGTGTATATTCAAATTAATCACTATCTTATAAGAATTCCTGCAATGTAAATTATATTCTGCCCTGGTCATTTCTATGGAATTTTATGAGCTTAAAACAAAACTCAAGTAAATAAACAAATTAAATACTTCACCAGATGCGTTATCTACACCTCACCTCCCGCTCCCCCTCTCTTCTCACGCTCGCTGGCTCCCTCCCTCCCTCCCTACCCCCGCTTTCCCAGACAAAGGTTTGGTGTTTTCACCCCCAGGCTCTGGTGTGGGTCAGTAACCCGTGCCCAGGTAGGCTAATCCCCGTAAAAGAAAAATGGATTCGTAATGAGACTGACTTATTTTTTAGAATTCAAATTTATATATAAATATATGCAATTTTGTATGCCATACATTGAACATGCTACATAATTATTTTTATCTCAAAATAGAATTGGCCATCATAGCACATCAGATGATAGTTCGGCATACCGCTCAGTAGATGAAGTGCGACAGTGGGATTCTACCCAGCATCCTATTGCCCGTCTGCGTGCTTACATGGTTACTCAAGGATGGTGGGATGACGCTAAGGAAAAACATTGGAAAGATGAATGCAAGCGCCAGGTGAGGAGGACTTGTACTGTATTGTTTAAGTGTATGTTATATACGGGTTTCTTCTTATTTCAGATATTTTCTAGTAGATGATGTTCTACTCCTAAACAGTAAATTGTATTCTACAAGGCCTGTTCAAATTTTATGGTTATCAACTTATGATCCACATTCATGTGAAGCACTAGAGTAATCTCCCTGTTTTCTTATAAGTTCATCCAATATGTTTTTGTCTTTAGGGCGTAGATATACATTTTGAAAATTTTAATGATTTTTACAATACAGTAATTGTCATTTTGAAATCTAATATTTGACTGCCATAGGCAGGGCTTTATGTGACAATGTCACCATGTTTTTCCATATCCTTAGCCAACAATCTGTTATATTATTATTACTTGCACCATTACATTCTCTCTTACTCCCTGTCATAAAGCTTTCACGAGCTTATTCATTTTGTTCATAAATCTTAGCAATATTTGTTTCAGCTATTCCTCTTTTTTACATTACAGTATTGTGCACTAATACAATATGAAAATTAGGGATAAAAAATTTGATTTATGAATACAGTACCAAATCCCAATTATAAAATTGTCAAGAACACATTTTATAGCATGTGCCACATAGTTTGCTTGATGCTGTTTCATACTTTATTTACACTGTATCTTAGGCAGAGATTACCATCATCTGTGGTAAGTGCTGATGTACTTTAAATTCTGTTTGACTTACTTCAAGATTACAGTAAATTGGTCACTTAATGTCATATATATATATATATATATATATATATATATATATATATATATATATATATATATATATATATATATATATATATATATATATATATATATATATATATATATATATATATATATACATTACATACATACATACATACAGTGACCTCTAAACTAACTCAATCCGCTCCAGAAGGTCGTTGTTAACCAAACCATTGTTTCAATGGGTTTTTGGTAATTGGTTCCAGCTCAACGAAAATTGCCTAAATTCAACAAAAATGGTAGAAAAGTTCACTTACTTTGAGGTGTGTATGTAGAAGGCTCCTGGATGATGATGATGATGGGAATTAGAATGGGGGTGGAGGAGAAGGAAGAGAAGGCATTGGGGTGGAAGAGAAGTCACCCCATGGCACCATTTCACCCATAAAATTTTAGTTCTCTTGGTGTATTTCAAGATTATTTTCTTTAAATCAACGCTGCACTGCATTATATATTGTCAATATGTAAAACATATTTCAAAATGACCAATAATTTGCTTGGAAACACAGAAAAAAGCATTTAGTTGAAGAGAGTCTCAAGCAAGATGTTACCTCCAGTGGAAACAGAGAGAGACTAACGCCTGTTTGCTGTGTTAAGAGGCTGGATGCCGCTCATTAAACTAGTCACTTTACCTTCAATTATGTTCAATAATTGTTAAAATGACTAAAAAATTGAATATTAAACTTTTAAAATTATTGAATAGTATAAACTTCTTGATATTTACTAAAATAGTAAGGAATTTAAGCCCTAGAACCGATTAATGTATTGGCGGACTGATACTAAAGCTGGTTGCCTGGTCAGTGCAAGCGAAAACATGCTGAGGTCGGTTCGTAAGAAATTTGTTAACCGAATTTTTGTTCGTTAACCGAATTTAGCTCATAAAATTCATACAAATTACCCGGCCAGAATATAATTTACATTGCTGGAATTCTTACAATTTGGTGATCATTTTGAATATAAACATCATATATTTTGCATTAGACATACAAATTTTAGATAAAATGTTTTCTCTGAGTAAATATGTTATCTTTTGTGCAAAATATATGACATTTATATTAAAAATATTCCTGGTCTTACAAGGAATCCAGCAATGTCAATTGTATTATCCCAACTTTAGTTTGAGGTATTATTTATTAAAATTTAGTGGTTTTCCCCCAAAAATTTCTCAGAGAGGGAAGAGCCAGCAGTGTTGTGTGAGAAGAGGGGGAGGGAGTTGAGTCCATTATTTGAATGGACATTAACTTGGCGACTGTATTTCTCTATTTCTCTAAGTATTAATTGTGTGCATGTACCATCATAAAATTAAGATGTTATTTTTACTAGAACATAGGTATTGTGTCGGAAAAAGTGGAGTTTGGGGATGGGCCAGTTTCTATTGGAATTAATCCCATATGTTCTGTTGTTCACTTAGCGCGGTTTTCACTTAACACGGTACCCTGTGGGTTTTATTGACCGCGTTAAGCGGGGTACTACTGTATAATTAACATAGCTGGGATTCTTGTAACATACTGATTAATTTGAATATAAACATGCTATAATTTGCACTAGACAAAACAATTTTAGTACCGTAATCAAATTAGTACATGTGCACTCCAGCTTTGCACTAAGGTCATTTATTTCTATTACGTTTCTTTTAGTATGGTGTGTGCATGTAAATGGATGAAAATAAATGAAGAAATCTATGTAAATCTACCCAAAAATACAGTTGAAAAACTTTTTTATAAAATGTACTACATATATATATATATATCAGTGTTGTACGCGTCAACGAAAAAAAGTGGTGCCGCCAGCGTCTGCGTAGACGGCCGAGAAAATTTATGCCGTCAGCGTCGGCGTAAACTATTTCATAAATTGACGCTGTTATTGTTAGCGTGAACGTTTTTTCAGTGCCGTACAAATGCAGCCCCGAAACGTGTATTCTCTTGTGTATGCCAGTAACATACAGTATGCAAAATCAAAAAATATTAATTCATTTTTAATCATTTATTATGATTTGTATTATCTAATTTTAATTATTCATTGGTTCCCCCGCAAGAATACTCGCATCTCAAAATGCTTGTCGCTCATTCTGCTGCGCTTGGGCCTCAAGACGTCCTTCCCCAGGGAGAACATGTGCTCCACGGCAGCACTAGAGGGGATGGGGTTGTTGTATTTGATGAACAACTCCCTCATGGCCTTGTTGGGGAAGGTGTTCTTGTCGAAAGTTTTTCGAAGGTTTCTCCCCCAGGAAATGCTTGAAATGATCACTGTCTTTTTCATTCCTGCGGGGGTCTCGTACAGGGCCTGGAACAATTCGTCCTCCACGTCATGGTCTTTGTTGTCTCCCTCACTGCTGCTGCTGCTCTCAGTCTCATGCACGGACTTCTCAACCAACCTGGACAGCTGGTTGGTGGCCTTTTTCCTGACAAACAAATTGACGCTTGATGCTCTGCTCGGGTGAAAAGTTGACTGCATCACCTGTAGTGTCACCTGCCCCAAAAATTTATGGCGTCAGCGTTAACAAAAAGTTGACGGCGTTAAATTAATGGCGTCAACGTACATCACTGAGTAAACGTAATCATAAGGTCAAAAACATAAACGGAATAAACTTTTCTTATGTGCTCAGCAGTTAGCTCACAGTGTTGGGGAAGGGAGTGCGGCGTGGGAATCTCCCAGCTATTTGCTGTCTCGTGTCCTGTGGAACGATTGCCATTTGGCAAAACGAGGGAAAATACGTGGAGTTTATTATTAAAATAAGCTACAGTGCATTACAGTAAAGTAACACTCACAGGCCATGGCAGAAGCAAAGTAATAAGGAAGACGAAACACCTGTCTGCTCTCCCGACATTATCACAAAGTTCACTCACTTTACACAATATCAAAATAATACAGGGTATATGAATTCAATAACCTGTAAAAGTCACAACAATAGGGAGGATGCACAACAATAGGGAGAATGCACAACAATAGGGACGATGCACAGTGATCGATAATGTACGAAGCGATAACAGTGAAGACCGATCGAACGACAGGCAGTAAACACTTGTGGTACGGTGGCATGAGGTAGCATACCCCTATGTGGTTTCCATATAATAAATCTAGATATGCACCCCGTCTGGTTACCAAAATGCTAATTTCTGTTTATTGCTGGAATAGCTAGATAATGATTTCTAAAATCATTTCATATCTTTAGGTTGGCTGAATTGTAAGTACAGTCTCTCCTCGACTTACGACGGAGTTCCGTCCCGACGACTAGGTCGAAAGTCGAAAAGTCGAAAATAGTACATAGAAATTCTAAAATGGGTCTCTTTTTCTTCTCAGTACCACGAGAACTCTCACTTTTATGCTTGCCAGCCATTTTAAAGGGAATTACAAACGAAAATTTTGTCAGTACACAGCGCAATCACTAACGTCAAGACTCGAAAATACATAATGTGAAAAATATTTTATACGACCATGGCCGTTGTATGTTCGGGTTGTCGTAAATCGAATATGTCGTAAGTCGAGGAGAGACTGTATTGTTGTATAGCGTCTTCGAATCAGTCTACGCCTTGAAAATCCAACAATGCCACGATCTCTGAGTGGGCCAGGAGACCTATCACACTCTGCATTTATTTTACACTACAGTAAATCCTCGAATAACGACGGTAATATTGCAGTGTAAGGTGAATCATCGTATCGCGAATCATTAATTACCATTAAAATAAAGCAATAATAATGAGATGCATTCCCAAGTGTGACCTTTTCATATCTTTTGTGTGGCTTTTTACCCTCTTTTCCCCCCAAAACAATACAATTAATGAAAAGTTCAAACTACATTCTTTAAATAATGTTTCTGACTGCACCTTATACAATATACATGAATAATAATATGGTCACACAAGAGGAGATGGGATGCCATTGTTTTCGTTTGTGTTTGCAGTCAGGAGTCCGGGATGATAGTTCTACACGAGAAAATTAAGAAAATAAGACCCTGGTTGTAGCTGTAGTAAAATTAATGTAAAAAAATGAATACAGTATACTGTATATGTTTTAAGTAACGTTATTTAATGTTAATAAATGGAACAATAGAAGTAGCTAACCACTAATGGCAAAGAAAAAAATAGATGGATTGGGAACGCCAACATATATGTGCGCATTTAAGGATACTGCGTCATTTATCTTAAAAATATGTACAAAATATTCATTTTTATTTATTACTGAATATGTATTTGATTGAATTAATCTATATATATTCGAAATGAACAATGCAATTCATTAATAATAAGTAGAATATTAAAACACATAAGAGGATAAGAGACGGCATTGTTGTCAGTGTTTACACACATAATGTCAGTTATCCACCTGAAACTGAAGAAAATAAGACCCTGGTTGTTGTTGTAGTAAAATTAATGTAAAAAATATGTATGTTTTAATTAGTGTTATTTAATGTACAGTAGAAGTAACCACTGATATTAAAGAAAAAGGTGAGACTGTTAGTGGAATGCCAATGTATACGTGCGCACTCAAGGAAACGTAGTCATTTATCTTAAGAATATGTGCAAAAGATTCATTATTGTTTATTACTGAATATGTATTTGATTGAATTAATGTTTATATACGGTACACGCCCTATTTTAGTGTCATCAGCAAATTTACTTATGTTGCTGTCTACGGGGCTGTATGTAGTCTGTAAGTTATGGTACCGTATGTCTGCTGCTGTATGTAACTGATGAGGCGTTTTGAGTATGCGGCCCCAGGATCAATCCCTCATTTTAGCATAGTGCCTTCTTCTTGCATCATCTCCTTCTCTTATTATATCAATTGTACAGATTCCCATTTCACACTCAATACTTATTATTGAGTAGATCACCTTTCACAATCTGTAATGATAAGTAAATGAATTATCCATTAATCACTCTTCAGTGAATCTGCAAATTGTGTTCATTGCTTTGTTGAACTAACTTCTCTGAAACAGTTCTTTTTGTAATCCTTTATATATGTAATCTACAGGTGATGCAGTCCTTTGCCAGGGCTGAGCGCCGTCAAAAACCTAGTTGGAGAGAAATGTTTACAGATGTATATGATGTGATGCCTCAACACATTAAGTGAGTCTAACAAAGTTCTGAATGCAATAATATTTTGGTTTAATATGTATTTTATTTGATTTCAGAACTATTGGTGATAGTATCTATGTAATGTACAGTACTGTACAGTCTTCCCTTGCAAATTCTAACTTCTGTAATGTTGCATTCAAAGGTGAACAATTTACTTTATAAACCTAGAATGAGCAAATACTGTGGGTGCTTTGCACTTGATCAATTAAGAAAAAATAAATGGAAAATTTTCAAATTACGGTTGGACACTAAAAGTAAACAATGCAGTAAAAATTTTTTTTACCAAAGGCCCAATTTTACCTTGTGCTACACAGCCTGCCTGAAGCTGTTTTGTATATTATTTACACTAGTTATGCAGAACGGCTTTGTTCATACTTGTCATGAGTGGTGTAGTGATGTTTTGACCACATGTCATTATTTCACTGTTTAATTACAGGGCAACATGTCAGCAAAAAGGCATCTAAGTTGAACTGGTAAAAGTAATAAGTGGAATGGGTGGCAAGGACATTGGATGTGAAGTTTGAAGTGGGAGAAAAAATACACAAATAGACAGGGCAGTAATCCTTTCTCCAAATACAGTGGCAGTTATTTGTATAAACTTATATCATTGTTTATATTAACCACCCAGAAATGGCATCAAAATATTCAAATATAAAATTATACAATATTTGGTTTACCATTTGTTCATTAGAATTGTATTTGTGTACATACTCACCATTGAGCTTATGTAAGGTTCTTAACTGATTACTATCCCCTCCAGTATGTTTGTATTAGAAAAATATTACCATTGTACAGTAAACCCTTCCAATACTGTATCAGACTAATTCTTGCAAGTCCTGTCTGTTATTGGGAGGATTGAGAGGGTTTTCTTTTCCATTTCCCACCATCAAAACACACATCACATATGGTAATGAATATTGTACAGTACACGTACTGGTATACAGTGAGTTCTGCTATAACGCGTGTTTTGATAACGCGAATTTGCTCTAACGCGATTTATGAATTAGGAACGATATTTGTATAACGCGAACGCTTGTTTGCTATAACGCGATTTTTGCTTACTATTTCTCCAATTTTGTGGTACAGTGGGGTATGCTATAACGAATCTAATTGGTTCTAGAACCTTGTTCGTTATAGCATTCGTTCGTTATAGGATTAATCCGTTCCAGGCCCCCAAATACAACCACTTAACACTGAAAAATATAATATAAAATTGTAAAAATTGTAAAAAAGTGCATAAATATGCATCTAAACCCCTGAAATAAAGAATATCATTAATATTTGTAATAAAAAAACAATAAATTAGAAGAAAAAAAAATTAAATAATGTTCGTTGTAGGAGTTTCGTTCGTTATAGCATTCTCAATTTTATAGGTAAAACCGTTCGTTATAGGAATATTCGTAGTAGGATCCGTTCGTTATAGCATACCCCACTGTATTAACTGTGAATATAGTAAAGAAGAATATCAACAAGAAGCGTTCTGGTGATAGAATTCCCGGTGATGATCGTAAAAGAAAGGATATAACACTTGAAGAGAAGCTCGATTTTATCAACCTCAAAATCACCCTTCTCCCCCATCAAGTAAAGTGTTACATTTACTGTATGATTTCATTATTAGATATGAATGTAACATTTATTTAGACTGTGCTATCCTTTGTGTTAGGCTAACTACTAAATTTTCTCGATTTCGAGTAATCTGCACCTAACCCTATTTTCTCCATAAGCCCTGTTATTTCTATTACGCGATTTTCTATAACACGATATTTTACAAGAACACAATTATCGCGTTATAGCAGAACTACCTGTATACTGTAGTACCTTGCTATATGCTGGACGTGCATTCTTGAAAAGTGCGATGTTACCACTCGCGGTCTTAGTCCCCACTATCCAGAACCCCCTTCGTAGTTGTCCTGAATTGGGGATATTGGCTGTCCTGAATTTTTTTATTTTCACTGAAGCAATTTTTCCTACTGCGCATTGACATTTATGATATTTCAACAATATCTATACAGTATATGCAAAATCATATAATGAATCACAAGAGCAAATATAAAAAATTAAAAACAAAAAACTACAGTACAGCATGTCCTGACAATTTGTGGACCTCGATTATTCGTAGATGACACCCTGGATGTACCCAAGAATGTCTAAGGGGAGTTGTGTACAGTACTGCAGTGTCCCTCAGGACTCGGTGGGGAGACTCGGTGGTTGGGGGCCCGTAAAACATGTGTAGCACAAGGACCCTGACATGTTTCTCACGGGTCCTGGTAGTAGAGACCTAAAATTTTGACTGGTTGTTTAGAGTCATGTGATAAGGCAGGGATTCAACCTTGTAACCATTTGACTGACTTTTGAGGCAGTTGATGTGGCATGTTTTCAGTTTGTTTCATAAACAGTACCTTGGTTCAGCTGGACGATTACAGTGTGTGCATCCCCAGTAGCATTGATCGATAAGGACAGTTGATTGTCTTAAAATACATAGTGCCCTCAAGATAAAGCAGGGTCTACAGGGGGTCTTGGCTGGGAAATCTCACATTTATACTGACTCTTCCTTTTGTCATTAAAATGGGATTGCCAAGTTCAATCCTAAATAGTTTTTTCTTTTATTACAGAGAACAGTGTGAATACATGCAAGCCCATGTTCAAGAATATGAAGAGCATTATCCTGTCAAGAATTTTGCTAAGGACCAACATTAAGATTTTATTTTCAAAATTACCTGTACAGTATGCCCGGATAACTCTTGGATTTTTATTTGGCGGTCTTCTATTATTCGCGGATAACAACCTGGACATACCCAAGAATGTCTGTGGGTAGTTTTAAAGTTGCCGGCATTTTTGCAGCTGGGACAGGGAGCCATTCATTCTAGAGACAGTAATTTTCTTTACCTGTATTGTATATACAGGGTATGTGTGTGTGTGTAGACACACACACAACACATACAAATACATAATAATGGGAAAATCCTCTCAGAAATAATCAGAAACAATAGTATTAAAATTGTTGAGTCTGCCTTCAAGTCTACTTCGTGCCATATTAATAACAAAGCACGAACAACAACAATAGTACAGTTTTTAAATTAGTGTATTATTTCTTAAAAGCACTGGTTCTTTTTCTAAATTATAAAAAAAATCATTAGCACTAACTATTGTACAGGTTCCGTTCCAGAGGACGTTCTTAGGTTGGATTTGTAAGTAAGTCGAAATACATGCTATGTGCATACCTTATTTACAGAACAATGTTTAAAATCCCACTACAGTCAACCCTCACTTTACGCGGTTAATGTAACCCACAGGGTGCCGCGGAAAGTGAGGAACGCGTAAAGTGAATAACATAACATATGGGATTAATTGAAATAGAGTCCGGGCCGACCCCCAAACTCCACTTTTTGACGACACACAACTATGTTGTAGTAAAAATATTATCTTAACTTTATGATGGTATGCACACACAATTAATAATTAAGAGAAATATCAATAATATTAGGTTTTTTAACACTTACATTAGTAGAAAAGATGGCTGGGCACACGGGGATGGGGGGTTGGTTCCGAGGCAGCTAGTCCCAGAATTGTCTTTTATTGCAAATTTGTAGTATCTGGTAGTCCATTACAGTACTGTAAAGAACAGTATTAATTTTCTAGGTAATGTTACTCATAAGGATTTTCCTGTACTTAATTAGTTTAATGCTCAGCCAAATCTCACAAAAAGCATCTCTTAATACTGTATTAGTAATTACAGAAAAACTTCCTTGTTAGTTTCTCACCGGCAGAATTATGGCTTGAAAGTTATTGTATATCTTGTCAGGAAAGCGAACTCCCAATCTTATCATTAATATGTATATAATGTTTCATAACATAAGAATTGATAAGGATTGAATTGTACAAATTATATTGGATATAAATTTGTGTACGTACTTTAGTTTTAGAGTGAGTGCAGTCTGTGTATCAGAGTTGCCAACACATGTAGTAGTTGTCAACAGTAGGGTGATGTAACCGAGGTGTAATTTCATAATTTTTTAGATAGAAAATCTCTTGAGATTATTTTGTTAAATAAATTGAAAATTTCAGAAGATTTATTTCTTCCTAATTATTATACATGTACTGTACATAGCTACAGTACAGTACCATACACTACCTTCATGGGAACTAATCAGAGCTATGTAGCCCTTCAATGCCTCCATTTTATTTTTTGTACATCTTAAAAAAATTAGGTACAGTACTGTATGAATTATAGTTGGTTTAGGTGATGAACATTAAATTGTACTAATCTGCACTTTATTAATAAAATTGCTGAAACATGCCCATATACAGTAGCCCCATTTGGTGTTAGCTCTCTTCTAAGTAGAAGAGCAAACTGTTAAATCATCATCATCATCATTATATGGCCATTTTTCATGCTTGTGTGGATCAGCTGTGATTACTTGATGGCAGCTCCCTGAATTCTTTAATCATCATGTACAGTCGGGATCAAAAGTCTTGAACACTTATTAATACTTCTGAGTTATACATATATGATGGGGATATACTAATAACACAACTTGTCATCACATATTATGCCTGAACCACAAAATGGGATAAAACTCTCCTTAATACCAAAGATCTTCGGGTACTTACATGCCAAATATTGTCAAGTGTTCAAGACTTTTGAACCCGACTGTACCTCTCCCCATGCCATTCTTGGCCTACCTCTGGCTCTCCTCCCCTCCACATTCAAACTTGTGCATCTTTTGACCTAATTGGCCTCTTCCAATCTTTCCACATGCTCAAACCATCTCGGCTTACCTCTGTGCAAAACATCATCAATATTGTACTTTCAGTAATCAGTCATCTTCTTACCCCTCAAAAGAATTTCCTATCTTTCTTTGTCACATCTCACCATTACCATTTTAGTTTGCTCAATTATGTTATCCTCTTAAACTGTGCATGTTTCTCACTGGTTACATACATCTTTCCTTTCAAGTGAAGAAATTTTTCTTTTGCAATCATTGAAGGCAACAGATGCTTAATTTAATTCTACCCACTTCTGACTCTTGTAGCTGAGCTAGCTTTGTCACTTTTCCAGCACTGATCATGTCACCCAGGTGGCAGAACTCATTGAAACAATCCAGGTATATGTCCCCAATGTTAAGCTTTTCCAGCTTTGCTTCAGTCACACCTGTATGTACAGCACAATTAAAGTCTGCAACACCAGGAAGTGTAAGTCTTATGTACCCATCTTCCACATTCACTGCGCATTGTTGAATTGCTGCGATCACCCTTCTTACAAACATCACATGACTATACACTCATACAGTTTATAACTTTTTATCAAGTCCTTCATCCACAACTAATCATTATTTTTGTTTTCACCACATTCACTCTCATACACTTTGTCCTTCTATTTCTTAAGTTTCTCAGTTTTCTTTTCAGTGCTATCTGTTATCAACACTGGTGTCAGCATACACTCCCAAGGCAGGCCAGTCCTGAAATCTGACAATAGTGCATCTCATACAGGGTACCATAATAAATTTAAGGAGGCTCCAGATAGACCCTTGATAGATGCCTTTCACCTCAAATTCCACACCTTCGCATCATTTGCTCTCACAGAGGTCCTTGAGCCCCCATAAAATGCCATAATTACTATCCAGAACTTGTACAAGACATTCCATGACCCTCCACTTTCTCATTGCCACTGCACAACCTCAAAAGGCACCCAGTAAGTGCATAAATGCAAAGTATGGCTTTCTCCCTTCCCTTGGAACTTTTCTTGTACAGGTATATTGCCTTGCCATATATATTGCCTCTATAGTCTCCTTACCTGTCTTGAACCCAATCTGCATATCACCAATATCCACTACACACTGAATATACTTTTAGCTGCATCACCCAGTTATCGCTATGAACACCAATCCTGACTGACCGAGTTATTCACTGAATAAAAATAAGATGGAAGAAGTCTGGTTATAATAAATACTGACATACACACAGTATTCTGTATAGTTTCTGGTTTTCATCATTCACCAAAGGTAAATTCCTAGGATGGGTGTTCTTTTTTTTGTCATTTTAACCCTTAAACTGCGGCAAACGTCTATAAACACTCATTTCCTGCCATCTTTTAAATCCATTGTTACGAGTTGGGGATTTAGAATATAGTTATACATCTACCCAGATCCCAACAGGTAACAAAAAAAACAAAAACAAAGACAATCGGACTATAAAGGGTAGACAAAGGATGCGAGTTTTCGTTGTGTATAATAAAGTACCATAAATTCCTTAACAAAATATTCAGCTTCCTATAAATTACCCTTAACCATACTTAACCTAAACATTAACAGTATATACATATTAATAAAACATAAAACAATCGTGAAGCAAGGTGGAGGTGGGAGAGGCAATACAAGATTACAAATACTTAAGTGAGGAGCTGAGATGGCTGACGAGTAAGGCTGAGTATTGTAGAAGACGGTAGGTAGTCACTGTGCCGTAGGTTTCCAGGATAGGTGATCCTGTGGTCACTTCCCAGAGCCAAGTTGTTGCGTCACTTCCTCCAAGTCTTATTTGTCAGCTCGAGTTCGAGGAGGCTCTGGGAGTGACCACAGGATCTGTTTAATTAATATGGTT